AGATAGTTGGAGAACAAAGCTATGAAAATCGCAGCTGTGAAACATGCACCTTAAAGTAAATACGGATACAACTACTGAATCAAAGCCAAAGTGCAAGTTTTGAAGAAAAGGATGTAGTGCAGCTGCTTATAATGTATTGTATCTACAGAAATGGCACGAATTTTGTTCAGTACGTATTTCCAAAAAACTTAAAAAAAAACGTTAGGATCACCAGTAGACTAGCCACAAGGCGATACAGCAATTGGGAAAGTTGACAGCTGCATAGTTGGGGAACCACGCCATGGACTAATCAGTTGTATCTCAAAGTTAATATTAGACACTCCAGTTGAGCTGCACAAAAAGTGGAATGTTAAGGGAAAAGGATTTAGTGCAGCTGCAAAGCTGTTTTCCGGGAAAGCCCATCGATATCTAAAAATTTATGAGAAAGAAAATGATTAATTGTAAAAGAATTCCGGGGATTTTATTTGCACGAATGCACTATAACATTAAATTTTTATTAATCAAAAATACAACATAATTTTGTATACAACATTTTCGTAAAAAATATTTGCCAGTGTTAGAAAATGCAGTTCGAGATCGAAGGCCCTGGCCAGCTGTACCCGCTCTGTGGTGTGGTAACATCCAAGCAACATCTGGATCGATACTACCATGGAATACTCACACTCGTTCCTGGTATTCGTGACTGAATCATGTGGCTTTAAAAAATTATGGCCTTTTTTGGGAAGGAGAAACCAGGCGGACGAAGAAGGAACGAAAAAGAAAGTGAGAGCAGACTGGCTCTACGAAAATTCAAAAAAAAAAATTATAAATTTCAAATAACTGTAAAATTCTGGCCTTCGTGTAAAGGTGTAACCAGCTTTTCAGCAGCTACTTTTCTGATGAAATGCGACAACTGCCCTGTTAGAATTTGTACCAAATTTCACGTCTTAATCCATGAAGACCGGGAAAATCTGTGGATTGGTTGAGAAACCTTCATCAAAGGGAAATGACGATCTGATGGCTCAGTTCTACTGATGGTTCCCCCTTTCGAGATTTGCACGTAAAACAAACTTACTATGGTCAAAAACTCTTGCTGTAAGATCCAAATTACCTGCTGGTTCACTGAAATCAATATCTAACACTTTGTCCCTAGGAAAAGCTCTAAATTT